GGGCTCCCTAACAAAACAAAAGACAAGGTTATGAAGGCAGGATCCATTCTGCCGCCTTCAGGTGACTCCCAGCTCCAGCAGAAAGCTGGGTCCTGAGAGACTGTTCTCGGGGTTGGACACCCTGTTGTAAAGGGAGGAACCTCCCAGCCTGCTCAGGTCAAGGGGAGCCTGAAAACAGGACTGGAGGCGTTAGCAAACCTCTGGGGAGACTCTTCGAGGTCAGGGCAAGCACCGTAAGGGGGCCCTGCTCCCTCCCTGCCATTCTCTAAATGCATTTATCGACTCAACCTCTCTGCCGGTCTGTTCGCCCCAAATCCCACTCCTTAGCTTCTCTTTCCTGTGGGTGACCTGGACACGCTTCTGGGTTGGGGAACTAGACCATAGGATCTGGTGCCCAAACAGGCCCAAGAGGACCAGCTCAGGCGCTGGGAAAGAGCTGGGCTTCAGGGGGCTGGATGGAGGCGGTCAGCTAACTCAGTGCCTCTTGCACGCATGCATGCTGGAAAAAGTCTGCAATCCCCTCCTCGGAGTCAGAGGGGGAGGCCGGGTGAGTCACTGGGCGTGTAGCTGCCGTGACCAGCCACATACCGCCTTGTAAAATGCCTGCTCTGGAGCCCGGCCCCACCCGGAGCTCTGCCTTTGCGCTGGGAGTTTCTGCAGACGGCCCCACCCCACCCACCAGTCCAACCTCTGCCTCCTGCGGCCGCCACTCCACAGCGGTCACTACGGGGAGGAGGGAGAGGGCCCAAGGGTGTGGGGCCGAGATCCCGGGGGCTGGGCTGGAGTCCCCACTCTGCTCCTGACCTAGGGGCTAATCCCAGTCAAGTTACTACCTGGGTATAAGCCTCAGTTTCCTCAAATGCAGAAGAGGATGGACAGGGATTCAAGAGATCCTTCCAAGTTGAGAGCGAAGGAAATCCCAGACTTTTCAAGGGACTCAGAGAAGTAGGGGACTAGGCTGGCTGAGGGTAGGAAGAGGGTCAGCCTGGAGGGGTTGTCAGAGTCTCAGGGTGGGTGACTCATGACTAATGGACCCTGGCCTGGGGCAACACTCTCAGGGTGGCCCTTGGACCCGCAGGGCTCCACGGAACACATGACATCAGGGCCACCTTGGAGTCAGTGTCCCAGGGCTTCCTGGCCCGCCTGGATGTAGTAAGTAGCTGACTGCCCCACCTCTGCAGGGAAGAGATGAAACAAGACCTTGCGAGGATGCTACAAGGCGACCCCAGGGTCAGCACAGCGAGGGACCTTGAGGGTGTCCAGTCCTGGTGCTTGCCTCACTGATGAGGACAGGAGGGTAGGAGGGTCCAGGGAACTGGTGCCCAGCCACATAGCCCAGAGGAGCCCACTGCCCACTGTGGGTCCAGAGCTGGAGAGTGGGGCCAGGAACTGGGGGATAGGGGAGGAGATGCTGGGCTGGGTCTGTCCCTCCCACCCACACCCGTCTGGGCATGACCGGGGCCCTTCACCTGTGGCACTTGCCTTGTCCCTGTTGCCGGGATGGGCCTCCCAGGAGCAGTTTCCAGCCATCTCCAGGCCTGGCGCGTCTGGGTCCCTGCTGGCAGCTCACCAGTCTGCACACCCACCTGGCGGAAGCCCAGAGAGAGGGTGGACGAGGGCAGCAGGGACCCCTCCCCTTCCTGGACCCCCATGCCTAGGCCCCCAAGGCCTGCGGTTCTCAGCTGTCACCTTAGAGGAAAGGCAGTCACCCCACTCCCTCAGAGGCAGGGGCGTTGTGGGACTGTCCTGGTGAGATTCTGGAGGTCACCCCTGCGGCACGGCCCCCTCCTGCCTGTGGACTCCGCGTCAGCCCCACTGCAGCTCACTGGAAAAGCAGCCCTCTCCTTTCCCTCTTCTTGTGGGAGTTCTGGGGCCAGGCTGCTTTTGGAGACATACCTTTATTTACCCACACACATTTTTGGGGCACTTCCTTTGTGCCCTGCCTGGTGTGGGACACGGGTTTCCCAGCAGTCGGTCCCAGAAGGAGGAGCAGGGGAAGAGGGAAGAGGGATCATTTCTGGCAGGGGGGACCTGCTGGAGGAGGAGGGCTCTGGCTGAGCCGGTGTTTGTAACATGCTAAGGCACCTGGCCTTTCCCCTACAGTGCCTGAGAGGCAAGACAGCCCGGTCATCAGCGTCACTGTCACCACCACTTACCCTGCCAGCCGGCCTACACCCATCATCTGGTTTGGTCCTCATGACCAGCTAGGGGCCAGGTATCCTCATGCCCCTTTAATGGGCGCTCCTGAGCTTAGAAGGTGAAGTCACCTGCCCAAAGGCACACCCAGAGCCATGCCATGCCCTGCAGCTTTGCAGATTTGTGTCTCGAGCAGCTGCCGTAGGGAGGGGCTGCTGGCCTAAGGAGGGGAAGCTGCACCCACCCTAGGGTTGCCAATGGAGGCCTGGGGAGGGGGGCGACCCTGCTGGAGGCCGGTCCACCTTGGCCGGCCAGATCTCATGGGTCTGCCTGCCTTGGGTCCTCTGGAATTGATCCCTGTCCCCCAACCTGAGCTTCCCCCTTGGAGGAAGCTTCTCTCCGTGGAGCCCTGTCCCCCTTCCCCGCAGAGAAGCATCTATTACTCCCTGCTGTACTGGGGGGGAAACTGAGGCTATGAGCGGAGAAGGGACTTGCTGGGCACAGCTCGGGTCGCAGGCTGCCGGGCCCCTCCTCTCCCAAGGGGAGAGCTAGGCAGCCCGCTCGGCTCAACTCCCCGGAAATTCTTTCCTCTATGCCGCGCGGGTCCGCCCGGCCTCAGCCAGCCACGCGCCCCCGCCCGCCGCCCACTCCTCCCGCCTGGGGGCGGGCCGTGCCCCTTGCCTCCGCGCCCACCATTGGCTGGAAGAGGTGGCCGTCTGCGCGTGTGGCCCGCCCCCTCTTTAACCCTTGGCCTCCCGGAGCTGGTGGCGCAAGTGCAGCCCCAGGGGCCGCTCGCAGGACCCGTCCCACCCAGTGGCCTGGGTCCCCTCGGCCCCGCGCAGCCGGACCGCGCCGCTCTGGGCCTTCAAGGGGCGTTTGCGGGCACCTGTGCCTGGCCTACGGGTGATTCAGCCTGGGGTCTTCGGGGTGCCCCATGTGCCGGAGTGAGCCAGTGCGTTGCTGATGTGTGTGCATTGGGCTTGCAGATAGCTGGTGCTGTGACCTGTGTGTCTTTAGTCTCCCTCCTTGGACTCCAGTTGGGCCACTGTGCCATTGCCACAGACAGGCCGTACCTTCTCCACACTCTGGGGCCTGTCCGAACTTTCCTGCCCTGCAACCCCAGACCTACCACCTGCCCTCATCCTTCCGGGCGCCTGGTAAGAGCCCCCAAGCTCTCTCCATTGCCCTTACTCTTTTTGGTGGCCCTTCTCGACACCCACCACCCCAGGTCTGGGCCCCCAGCCTTGTTTCCAGGGATGTCCTGACTCACAGGAGCCTCATCCATTCACCCCGGCCAGGCTAGACCCCAGCCACAGCCAACTAGTACCCCAAAGGCAGTGGGCTGGGGCCCCCCCCACGCTGCAGCTGGGCATGCAGTGGGGGCCCCCAGCTCCCCTCTCTACCATCTGCTTCCCTCCATTATGTGGGTGTCCTGTGCGTTTGTCCTTGTCCTGCCAGGGACAACCTGAAAAGCAATTTCACTCATGCACAGAAAGATCTAGAAGCCAGTGGACCCCAGATGGGCCATATTAAAGGACATGTGTGTGAAACGTGTATGGGGCGAGCGTGTGAGTGCATGTGTACGTGTGTTCCTCTGGGTGGGATCTGGGCTATGACAGAACTAGTGTCTACTGAAGCTGACTCAAAAAAGCTGCCAGTGCAGCTCACACCTGACCCTCCCCTCGGAGCAAGCCCAAGGGTGGCCTGGCTACCTGTCAGCCTCCTGCAGCCTTGCCCGCAGGAAGCTCCTCCTCTCCCTTCACCCCTACCCCACCATGACCCAGCCCCGACGTGCCTGGGGCTGTCCCAGCCCCTTTCCTTAGCCGCTTGGGCTGCCATCAGAGGGGCCTGTCTCGCTCCCGCTCCCGAGGCACAGAGCCTCTGTTTTCCTCACTCCAGGCCTGGAGTGCCCTGCTTAACAGCTTGGATTGAAGAGGCTTGTCTGGGGGGACTGAGACCTTGCAGATCATTCCAGGAACTGCCTCCATCCAAGGCCAACAGCTTCATCAGGCCGCTGGCCTGGGAGAAGGTGGGACTGCAGCTCCAACATCCTGTGGCTGCCCACACGAACCCCCCGTGTGCACCCCAGGGCTGAGAGCAGGGGGAGCCATCTCCCTGTGTGTGGGACACTGCCGGCTGGGTGTTCCCTTCCAGCCCCTCTCGAATGCATGCTTGAATGGCCAGTGAGGTTGGGGGAGGGACCAAGAGGGAGTCCTCATCCCCAGCAACACAGAGCAGGAGCTGGACAGTGGGGCTGGGGGTGAGGCCAGCTGGGAGGGGTCAGGTCCTGCCACAGGAGGGAGACTTTTAAAGTTCCTCCATGGCCCAGGAACCCTGGAGCCTCAGGAGTTGCAGGGGAGCTTCTCCAGTGGGTGACAGCCTCTCTGGGGTCTCAGGGCTCTCTGCTTGGGGCCTTAGGATTTCTGGGAGCTGCCTGCCCTGACAGCGTCCACCTCTCTGCCCCGACGGTGCCCGCGTCATTTTCCTTCCCTGCCTGGCCCTCACCCTGCAGCCCCGGTTGCTGGAACACCCTCCCCTGGACCCTGGGCCCCTGGAGCTACCTGCAGCTGTCCTGGTCCGCAGAGGCCTCCTTTTGTGGAGGGCTCTTCCTGTGGCTCCCGTCTCCGGCCGACCGACCCGCCGGGGCAGCAGGCCAGCGCCGAGCACGGCCGGAGCCTCGGAAAATGCGAGCTCAGAGTAGAGCCCTCGCCTGCTGGAAGAGATGGCTTTGGAAGCAGAACCCGCCCCAAACCCAATTCCTGGCCCGGCAGGAGGGGGAGGGGAGGGGAGTAGGAGGAGGGGCTGAGCAGGGATGAGGCTTCAGGAAGGAATGCCCCGCTCAGGAGCCCCCCCAGAGCCCCACCGGGAACTCATCTCTCCGCCTGGTGACGTCACGTTGGCCCGAGCACTGCTGCCCGAGTCCAGCTGTTCATCTCCCTCGCATTCTGCTGCTCGGTAAGGCTGCCCAGGAGAGGGAGCACCGGCTGTACACTTGCCTGGCGCCTTTGGTCTGCCCCCAGTGGGCATTTCGGGGCAGGCTGGCCCAGGAGGGGCTAGGCCCCACCCCGTTGTTTTACTCAGGGCTGATACAGAGCGGTGGGGGGCAGCAGGGCGAGGGCTCCGTGGAGGGGCAGCGCAGAATTGGCAGAGGTGGGCAGCACCGCCCAAGCGGCACCCCTCCCCCCTCCCACCCGGGACTCGGCATGGGCCCCCTGGGGGCTTATGGAACCAGGAATTCCCTTTTCCCCAGCCCTAATAGCAATCAGATGGCGCAAGTGGAAAATCACGGCGCTCGGCGAGCAAGCTGGAAATTGGCGGGCTGTGGTGCCTGGTGCCTGTGCTGCTCTGCAGGAGGATGAGTCAGGCCCCCTTCCCCATTGAGCCCCTGGAGGGGGGAGTCCTGGAACGCGTTCATGCCTGGGGCACTGAGCATTGGTAGGGGTGGGGGTGCAAAGTGGGGGGTGCAGGAGCCAGCAGGGTGGCCAGGAGGAGGGGGTGATGAGAGGGCTCCCCTCCTGCCCTGGGCCAACTTTCTCAGGGTCCAGGAAGCCCAAGGGAATTCTGAGCTTTCCCAGCAGGAGCGTAGTGCCCAGACTGGGAGAGGTGTGCCTCTGTGGGCTTCTTGAAGGGAAACGAGAAACACAGCTGCCTTTGCACCTGCGCTGGGAGCTGCCCGCCTCCTGCTCGTCCTGCCCACGTGCAAACCTCACCGTGGAAGAGGGAGTCTCGCGCTGCTTCCCGCATGACCCAGCTGGCCTCCTGGGGTCTGTTTTTCAGGGATGGGCTGAGGAGGGACTCTGGGATCCTGGAGGCTCACGGGCCATGCCTGAGGCTGAGAGAGAGGCTGGAGGCAGCAGGCAGGGTGGTGACCCGTCCCCTCTTCTCCAGGGCAGCCAGCTGGGGCCCAGCTGGAACGTTTGTTTACATGGGGTGGCCGGGGGAGGCTGAATCCCGGCGAGTTCCAAGTGTAATTGCATTTGGACACTTAAAAGGAATTGTGTGAAGTGGGCAGAGGCTCTTAAGTCCACCACCTTATTTGGTATGGAAATTTGTTTCTCTCAAAATAAGCGAGAGGCGCTTGTAAACGGGAAGGTCGTCCTGGCCTGGGTTTGTGGAGTCCCCTTACCGTGGGCTTGGTGTGTCCGGCTGCTCTGACGCAGTACCGCAGACTGGGGGCTTATCGGTGCAGGCGTTTCTTCCCATGGCTGTGGGGGCTGGAAGGCCAAGATCAAGGCACCCACAAATTCAGCGTCTGGTGAGGACCCAGCCTCTCACTGCATCCCCATGTGGTGACCCCTTTCAGGCAGGCGAGGAAGCTCGACGGGGCCTCTTTTAGTGGGGCATTAATGCCATTATGAGGCCCCACCCTCATAACCCGCTCTTCTCCCAAACGCCCCACCTCACACCGGAGATTAGATGTCAACATATGAATTCAGGGCAGTGGGGCAGCGGGGCAGGGGCAGGGGGTGGGGCCACAAACGTGCAGTCTGCAGCAGCCACCCTGGGGGTCTCTCCCCGCCCTCCGGGGGAGTGGTGGGGTGTGTGGGGGGGTACCCGGAGGTCCAGTGCAAGGAGTTCCCGTGCTGCCTCCAGGCTTGGGTGACCTTGGACAGTTTTCTTTCCACCGGGGACCTTGGTTTCCTCAGCTGTCAGATGGGAAACGGTAATGACCCACAGGGTTACAGCAAGGAGGGATCGGACGCCTGGAGGAAGAGCTCTTCGTGCACCTCAGCAACGCCGCTCCCTGCTCCAGGCGTCCTGCTGGTGCCATTCCCTCCCAGCGAGGCTCAGGGCTCTGGCTGACGCTGAGAATGGGGTATGGCCCCTGCTCGTCCAGCCTTCACTTTCTAAACAGCCACCACTTGCCGTCAGGAGTCCTCCCCTGCCCTCCCAGTAGAACGTTGTTTTTAATCATCCTCTGCCAAGGGCCTCATGGTCCTACGCCTCTCCCCATGTCCCCTCCTGAGGTTGCAGGCCTGGACCCTCCTCTGTTGGGGGGTCCTTGGGGGAAGGAGACCGCAGAGATGTCTCCCTACCAGGTGCTTCTGTTGCCTACGGTTGCCCTGCTGCTCCCTGGACAAGGGGGCGGGTGTGAACCAGTCCTTGTGGCCCTCTGCAGCCAGCACCATCCTCAGTAAAGACTGCAGCTATTTCCTGAGCACTGCTGGGTGCCAGGCACTGTGGTCCGCGCTGATGAACAGGACAGGCGAGGTCCCTGCCCTCCGGGAGCTGATGTCCAACAGAGAGGCAGACCAGGTCAAAGGAAACACAGTAAAACGCACCTGCGATGAAGAAGGTGTGCAGGGCCATTCGGCTGGCCTGGTGGCTCACACCTGTAATCCTAGCACTTTGGGAGGCTGAGGCGGGTGGATTGACTGAATTCAGGAGTTCAAGACTAGCCTGGCCAACATCGTGAAACCCCTTTTATACTAAAAATACAAAAAATGAGCCGGGCATGGTTGCACACACCTGTAGTCCCAGCTACTTGGGAGACTGAGGCATAAGAATCACTTGAACCTAGGAGGTAGAGGTTGCAGTGAGCCGAGATCTCGCCACTACAGCACTCCAGGCTGGGTGAGAGAGTGAGACTTTGTCTAAAAAATAAAGGTTGAACCAAGGCCTAGCTGTCTTTCCTAATAGTGAAAGGGATCCCTCTCCTTCCGCTCTGTTCCCCTCCTCCACTAGGCTGGGCCTTTCTGTGCTGGAAGGTGCATCTTGGGAATCTCAGGAAAAGTCCACATTTTCCTCTGTCCTGCATATGGTAGACCATTCATTTGTTAATTTGTCCATCTGTCCATCTATCCACCCACTCATCTACCCACCCAACTACCCATCTACCTACTCATCCATCCATGCATCCATCCATCCATCCATCCATCCATCCATCCACCAGACCATCCATCCATCCATCCATCCATCCATCCATCCATCCATCCATCCATCAGACCATCCATCCATCGACCCATCCATCCATCCACCCAGCAAACCATCCATCTATCCACCCATCAATCCACTCATCAATCCATCCATTTATCTATCATCAATCCATCCATGTATCTATCAATCCATCCATTCATCCATCTAGCCTTCCACCCACCCACTCACCCATCCACCCATCCATTCATTCTTACCTTAATTCAACACATTTTTACTGAACACCAGCAATGTTGGTGCTAGGAAAAGAATTGTGGAAGAACCAGACACAGGGCATGGGGAGCAGGTGATAAATAGAAACAACTGAACACAAGAACTCCAACCTGTGATTAGTGCATTGAGAAAACCAAACAGGCTTAGTGGCAAAAACTTAGGTGGTAGGCAGGGAGGAATGGGAGGTGGGCTGAATAGTGGCCCCTAAAGATGTTGATGTCCTAATCTCCAGATCCTGAGAACATGTGACTTTACCCTGGCCAAAGGGACTTTGCAAATGGGATGAAGAGTCTTGAGATGAGAGCATCATCGTGGATTATCCATGTGGGCCCCATGTCATCACAAGGGTCCTTGTAAGAAGGAGACAGGAGATCAGAATGAGTAGTGGGCCATGTGTTGATGTGAGGAAGGGGCCACTAGCCAAAGAATGCAGGCTGCCTCTAGAAACTGGAGAGGACAAGGGAACAAGCTCCAGAAAGAACCAGAAACAGAGCCTCCAGAACAGAGCCTCCAGAAAGAACCAGCCCTGCCAACACCTTGACTTTAGGCCTCTGATTTCTGGAACTCTTACTAGAGTTACTTGTGTTGTTTAAGCCACTAAGTGTGTGTCATTTGTCATAGCAGCCACAAGAAACTAATCCAGGGGGATGGCCAGGCCTGATTAGCTGGCGTGGGGCTGGAGGCTCCTCTACAGAGATGATGCTTGCACTGAGACCTGAAGGAGAAGGAGAAGGAGGTGGCCGCTCACGCAATTGTCAGTTTGCCATGCGGATGCTCTTTTAACAAGACTTAATCTTTTAGTGGAGAGGTGCAAGGACTTTATTTGGGGGGTGACCCCAAGAAACATTACAGGGAAGAGAAAGAATTTTGAGAATTCCCTCCCACCTTGCTTTGAGGGGTCTTGTCTTCAGCTCACCACTGCCCTTGCCTTCTTTGTGGATTATTGTGGCAACAGACACCTGCAAACCCTAGGTCGGTCCTCAGCGAGGGTGGCTTGGGCAGCCAGAGACAGCCTGAGAACAGCTGCCAGGATGACTGTCGGACCCTCAGGGGCCTGGCGGGAAGCTCACTCCTGCTCTGGGGCATCCAGAGAGGGAGACCAGAGTTGAAGTCACGCTGAACACTGAGGTCACGTGCGGGCTTTTCCTCTGGGCCTGCCACTGGCACGCCTGTGCAAACCAAACTCAAATATGTCTTCAGATCCAATCCAACTTCGTCACAGTTTCCCCTGGGACTGGTGCAAAACTGGTACAAAACTCTTTGCTTTCTCAAGTCTGAGAGATCTGGGGTCTTCTGTTTGGGGGAGACCATGTTTCCGAAACTTTTTATCAGAAGCAGCTACTTCCAGACAAAACTTCCTATTGTTCGGCCTCGAATGCATCTCTTGAATCTGGAATTTCCCCAACGCTTGATTCCACGGGATGGCTGAACAGATGACACTGGCTGGGGGGTGGGTGTAGGTGTGTTGGTGTGTATATTTCAAGTCACTTTTGCTTTTTAAAAAATATTTAATTCCAGGATCATTTTTTAAATTGTGATAAAACGTGCATAATATAAAATTTATCTTTAGCCGTTTATATATATTTTTTTCTTTAGATGGAGTCTAGTTCTGTCACCCAGGCTGGAGTGCAGTGGCACGATCTCAGCTCACTGCAACTTCCGCCTCCCGGGTTCAACTGTTTCTCCTGCCTCAGCCTCCTGTGGAGCTGGGATTACAGGCGCCCACCGAACCCAGCTAATTTTGTATTTTCAGTAGAGACAGGGGATTTCACCATATTGGCCAGGCTGGTCTGAAACTCCTGACCTCAAGTGATACACCCGCCTCGGCCTCCCAAAGTGCTGGGATTACAGGCATGAGCCACTGCACCCGTTCCCATTTGTCCCTTTATCCACATCTGGGTCATGTCCATCTCTCTCCTTCCTAAGCCACACCTGCCTTGCACATTCTGTACCTTAAATGCTAGGTATACGGCTGACAGCTACGAACACACATCAGATAGACTAGGAATGGGAGGAGGGAAGGAAAAAGAACTCAGTAATATGTACCATGTATTCACACCAAAGCAGGGATGAAAGCACACGTAACCGCCGCGAGCCTTGTTCCTGTGACTCCAGCTGGGCAGATAAGGCCTCCTTTCCCCGGCATTCCCATTGCCTTTGCCCTCCTGCCATCTCAGCTTGTCACTGTTCTTGGTCTGGTGAGGTGATCCAGGCCTTCTTTGTTGTTGTTGTTGTTGTTGTTGTTTTTTTTTTTTTTGAGACGGAGTCTCGCTCTGTCGCCCAGGCTGGAGTGCAGTGGCCGGATCTCAGCTCACTGCAAGCTCCGCCTCCCGGGTTCACGCCATTCTCCTGCCTCAGCCTCCCGAGTAGCTGGGACTACAGGCGCCCACCACCTCGCCCGGCTATTTTTTTGTATTTTTTTAGTAGAGACGGGGTTTCACTGTGTTAGCCAGGATGGTCTCGATCTCCTGACCTCGTGATCCACCCGTCTCGGCCTCCCAAAGTGCTGGGATTACAGGCTTGAGCCACCGCGCCCGGCCGTTGTTGTTGTTTTTGAGACGGAGTCTGGCTCTGTCACCCTGGCTGGAGTGCAGTGGGGCAATCTCAGCTCACTGTAACCTCCGCCTCCCTGGTTCAAGCGATTCTCCTGCCTCAGCCTCCCGAGTAGCTGGGACTACAGGCATGTGCCACCACGCCAGGCTGATTTTTTGTATTTTTAGTAGAGATGGGGTTACTACTAACCAGGATGTAGGCCTTCATTCTCGAAGGATCTGTGCCCTGGGTGGGGCTGCCTCTTTTGCATTGCTGTAGTTTCTTATGAATTTTTACCATGGGACACCGGAGTGCTAAGGGATGCGTCAGAGAATCTCCTGGATTCTAGGCACGGGTCTCCCATTGCATCATAGCAACCCACTTTCTCCTGGAGTCAGGGCCAGCCACCTCAGCCGGTGCCGTGATCCCCTCTGTGCCGGTGGGCTCAGGGCTTGATGGTTCAGAGCCTACACTTCATCCTGTAGTCCCACAACGTGTCATCGCCTGCCATGGAAAGGCGGCGATGTGTCCAAAAATTGTTCCTTGCTTAGGATGATGGGGAACTTGGCAAGACAGAGAATTCAGTGGGTACAAACCTATGGGTCCATCGCATTTGTGGAAAACTAAGTTTCTTGATCAGCAGCAACGCGCGGGGAGCACAGTAATGACCTGTAAGGTCCCATACGCCCACGGATGGGGGTTCTGGAGGAAGCGTTGTAGGCAAGGAAGACAAATCCATATTCAAAATGAGTGATTGGCCGGGTGCGGTGGCTCATGTCTGTCATCCCAGCACTCACGTCTGTCATCCCAGCACTTTGGGAGGCCAAGGCAGGCGGATCACGACGTCAGGAGTTCGAGACCAGCCTGACCAACATGATGAAACCCCGTCTCTACTAAAAATACAAAAAAAAAAAATTAGCCGGGCGTGGTGGGGCGCTCCTGTAATCCCAACTACCAGCCTGGGCGACACAGCGAGACTTCATCTCAAAAACACAAAACAAAACAAGTGATTATTCCAGAAAAAACAAATCTCTGCCCCTTCCACAGTGGAATTAGTCCAAGGAAATCAACCTGCCACGCACGAGGTGGCTGGCGGTCCCCTGGGGAATGATGTCCCATCATGGGCCTGTAGGATCTCAACAGTGATTGTAGATGGATCCGCCTTGGCCGGGGGAAGCTCACATGGCTGAGCTCACGGGAAACCAGGTGGCCAGAGAAACAGGCTGAGCGTCATCCACGGAATAGGTCATCCGGTCCACCTGTTTAGTGAGAGCCTTCTCTGTGAGGCTGACTGGCGGCCAGTATTTACATGGGATACAAAGAACTATCTCCTCCCTTGTGCCCATTAAAAGGGATTCGCCTTCATGCCTCTTCCCGAGACCTTGGATTAATCGTCCGGTAGTGTTCCTTCCAAGCTCCGGACGGGTCATTGGGTCCTGCCAATGAGTCAGTGTAGAGCCACATCTCTCACCATCTCTCCTTCTATATAAAGTGAACAACCAGGTACACGGTTTGCAGGTCTGTCCCCAGACACTTCAAGGCCACCCTTCCTGGGGCTACAGCTCTGGCTGCCCACTTTCAGGCGATGCCAGCAGAGCCATACGTAAAACAGACCTGGAGTTTTTTCTTCCTTGGTCAGCTGGTCATAAGGGACTCCTATGAGATCATTCGTGTGGATGGAGGGGGAGGAGCTCTGCAGCGAAGGGGGTGCCACAGGAGTCTGGGCCATCTGCTTATGCAACTGACTTCAGGAGCCACTCAAGTCTGAGCTCATGTGGCCCCCTTCCACCTGATCACGGTGCTGTGGCACACATCACGTGTATCCTGTGTTGGGTTGGTTACCGTCTAGTTTCAGATGGGCAACTCACATCCTGTGGGAAAATGTGACACATTTAGTCTTTTCTAGGGTCCAACAGCAAGCCAGAGGCTGTTTTCCTTTTTTTTTTTCTCTCTCTCTCTTCCTGCCTTTCTTTCTCTTTCTCTTTCTTTCTTTTTTTCTTTCTTTCTTTCTTTTTTTTTCTTTCTTTCTTTCTCTTTCTTTCTTTTTCTCTTTCTTTCTTTCCTCTTTCTTTGTTTTTCTCTTTCTTTCCTCTTTCTTTCTTTCTTTTTCTTTCTTTCTTTCCTTCCTTCCTTCCTTCCTTCCTTCCTTCTTTCTCTCTTTCTCTCTTTCTTTCTTTCTTTCTTCCTTTCTTCCTTTCTTCCTTTCTTCCTTTCTCTCCCTCTTTCTTTTTCTTTCTTTCTTCCTTCCTTCCTTCTTCCTTTCTTCCTTCCTTTCTTTTTTTTTTTTTGACAGAGCCTTGCTCTGTCATCCAGGCTGGAATGCAGTGGCCTGATCTCGGCTCACTGCAACCCCCGCCTCCTGGGTTCAAGTTATTCTCCTGCCTCAGCCCTCCAAGTAGCTGGGACTACAGGCGCCTGCTACCACGCCTGGTTAATTTTTGTATTTTTAGTAGAGATAGGGTTTTACCATATTGGCCAGGCTGGTCTTGAACTTCTGACCTTGTGATCTGCCCTCCTTGGCCTCCCAAAGTGCTGGGATTATATGCGTGAGCCACCACACCCGGCCTTTTCTCTTTTTTGTTTTTGAGACAGAGTTTCACTCTTGTCACCCAGGCTGGAGCGCAATGGCGCCATCTTGGCTCACTGCAACCTCCGCCTCCCGGGTTCCAGCAATTCTCCTGCCACAGCCTCCTGAGTAGCTGGGATTACAGGCACCTGCCATCATGCCCGGCTAATTTTTGTATTTTAGTAGAGACGGGGTTTCACTATGTTGGCCAGGCTGGTCTTGAACACGTGACCTCAGGTGATCCGCCTTGGCCTTAGCCTCCCAAAGTGTTGGGATTACAGGCGTGAGCCACGGCACCCGGCCCAGAAGCTGTTTTTCAAAAGGAGAATAGTTATCTTCAGAAGAGGACATGTCTTTGCTCTAAAATCCCAATGGTCTCTTCTGTGACACCTGTTGGAGCCTGCCAGAGGCCTCATACAGAGTCCCTACCTGCCCCGGACACCTCCAGATCCACTGGATCTGTTGGGTCACTTGGCCTCAATAGCACGACAGCTTGAAAGCAGCCTGGATGTACTGCAGAGCCTCCTCTCATCCTGGGTCCTGAAACTGGCAGCAGCCTTGCAGGTTACCAGTGAGTCCGCCGGAAGAGCACACCTGGATGAGGCGTAAGCTGCGCCAAAACCCAGAGCCCCGCCAAAGGTCACACCACTTTTTTAACAGGAGGAGGTGCCTGGTCTTCCTCTTCAAGGGGCTATCTCAACACGCCCCACACCATCGTACCCCTAGAAACGTCACTGAGATGTTAGGCATTTTGTGGGGCTCATTTCCCACTCGCTGACATGCATGTGTCTTGCCAAGATGGCTCAGGTATTTCCTGATTCTTGTCAGGTCCAACGCATGCATGCTATCACTACGGTGGACCAGTGTGTCAGCCTGTGGAATGGTGAGGTAATGGAAGTACTCCAGAACTAGCTGGGACAGAGGGCTGGGGAGTTGGTAGGCCTGAGGTAACGGGGCAAAGGTATTTTGCTGTCACTGCCCAATGGAACAAGCTTCTTGTTTGTTTCTATTTTTTTCTTTTTCTTTTTCTTTTTTTGTGTGTGTTCTGAGACAGTCTCGCCCTGTCGCCCAGCCTGGAGTGCAGAGGTGCAATCTTGTCTCATTGCAACCTCTGCCTCCCAGGTTCAAGCAATTCTTGTGTCTCAGCCTCCCGAGTAGCTGGGATTCCAGGCATGCACCACCATGCCCAGCTAATTTTTGTATTTTTAGTAGAGATGGGGTTTTGGTATGTTGGCCAGGCTGGTCTTGAACTCCTGACCTCAAGTGGTCCTCCGCCTAGGCCTCCCAAAGTGCCGGGATTACAGGCATGAGCCACCACGCCTGGCCTGTTTCTGTTAAGTAATGAGTATAGAGATAAAAGAATTGGTATTAAGTGTTGGGAGCTGTGTTGACTTGCTCCATAAAAACATCACATCCAGAAGAGCACAGGAAGTTGCAGTTACTGCCTGACTAAGTTCACAGTATGACTTTTGGTTTTCCATGTTGAGAGAGAGAGGCAGGGCTGGTGGTGTCCATGTGGCCCTTTCTACCATAGTAGCCCTCACCCTACCAGTCAAGGAGCCACTCCATAGCTTCTGCACGACTGAGTGCCTTTTCCACTGTACTTTCCAGAGCCAGAAAATAACTATAGGGTGGGTTTCAGGGCCTGCGGAGCCTCCCGTGAGACGGATCAGAACAAACCCCATTCATTGCTTGATCTCCAAAAGCCCGTGCTGTGACTGTGGGACCGCAGTGGCTGTGTGTGTCAGGCAGAACGGGTACCGCTAAGACTCAGTGCCCTGTGACCCCCCTCCCCTCTGGGTATTTGCCTTTCCACAGTCACCCTTCCCAGATAAATGGCACAGGTCCCTTTGGGAACAGCAAGGAAAACGTGTGTACCTTGTAAATGCTTGGAGCAGCGTCCTTCCTCAGTGAGACCCAGCCCCACTTTATTCAAGGAGCTCTGGGTAAAATCTGGGAACTGGGTCGGGGCGCCGAGCCTCCACCACAGTGACTTGAGTCAGCTGCCTGTTCACAGATCCCCTTGATCAGGTCAAGTAAGATCTTAGTACATTGCCCAGGTATTAGGCCGAACGATGTTAAATTGTAGTGTTTCTTGTTGAAAATGGTGAAACAGCTGGGCACAGTAGCTCGCACCTGTAATCCCAGCACTTTGGGAGGCCAAGGCGGGTGGACCACGAGGTCCCAGCTACTCGGGAGGCTGAGGCAGGAGAATCGCTTGAACCCAGGAGTCAGAGGTTGCAGTGAGCCGAGATCACGCCATTGCACTCCAGCCTGGGTGACAGAGTGAAACTCCGTCTCCATAAATAAATAAATAAATAAAATCATGGGTCACCACCGCTCCAGGATTCAGTTGCTGGAATGGGCCAACTCTGACAGCCACTCCCAGCTGCCGAGTGGACACATGGAGCTCAGAATCTCTGGCGAGTGCACCATATCAAAATAATTAAGCCCAACCCGACATTACTTTCTTTCCCCCGGTCTGACACCCTTAGGGTTTGTTCTCATACAGATTTCCTAGGTTTCTGCCAATATGAAGTGGAAATGACTCCTAATTATTTTGTTACGTATAGCACATCTTCCTGGGTCAGATTTTGTGGCCACATTCCTGGAGCTTGCTGGGATTGCGGTTTAGTTACAGATCTAGAAGCCGGAGGTGGTAGGGGCTTTTGAGGAAGAGTCTGCCCTAGGATTAGAATCTTCCCAGATGGAATCCGTTCCTCATCAGTGCCCTGACTTTCACGGAAGAGAAGCTTGCGGCCCTGAGTTCAAGCGCAGAGTAGTTGAACTTAGTTCTATTTTGCCACCCAGGGGATCAGAGTTTGGGGTTGGTTTTTTTGATCTCTCAACTCAGTGGCTACAAGAGATATGGGCTTCCTTTCAGGCACCAGTGGAGGTTTTCTGGTACTTTAGGTCTTGAACTGGATATTTAAAGCCCTGAGCTCTTATTTTTTTCCCCAGCAAATTCTCCAGTGCGATAGGAAGTGGCCGCCAACTTCACAGGATGCAAACTCTTTATTTTACCAGCACGTTCTGTTGCAACAGCTACCGTTGTCCATTTGCCTTCTGCAGGCCCTTGACTCCATGTGATCGCTGGTGAAGACTGCAGCAAGCTTCCCACACCTTCCCCAGCCCCCGCCTCCAGCTCCTCCTGCATTTGTGGAAGCCCTGATTTCTACAGTAAGCCCCTTTTTCTCTGGAATGCATGGAGTGGCCCTGCTTTCCTTTCCCAACTCAGATGGATATGGTGTTTAATTTTTTAGTTTAAAAAAAATTTCTTTTTGAGATAGGATTTCGCCCTGTCACCGAGGCTGGAGTGCAGTGCAGTGGCACGATCACAGCTCTCTGCAGCCTCAACCTCTGGGCTCAAGTGATCCTCCCGTCTCAGCCTCCCAAGTAGCTGGGACTACAGGCACGCACGACACCTGGCTAATTTGTTGTATTTTTTGTAGAGATGGGGTTTCGCAGTGTTGGCCAGGTTGGTCACAAACTGCTGGGTTCAAGCGATCTGCCTGCTTCAGCCTTTCAAAGTGCTGGGATTACAGGTATGAGCTACCTCCCTCCCTTCCTTCCTTCCCTCCTTCCTTCCTTTCTAGATGAGAGTCTTGTTTTGCCCAGGTTGGACTTGAACTCCTGGGCTCAAGCGATCCTCCCTCCTTAGTGCCCGAGTAGTTGTGACCGCAGGCAGGAGTCCCTGCAGCCTGCTTTTCCTAGTCTGTTTCTCTTAAGGCTTTACTTGTGGTACTCATTTGCCCTTCTACTCCTTTCAGTTTCAATATTCATTTCTTAATTAGTTTTCTCTTTTATTTAGACGCCTTTCTGCTTTCATCATCTCTTTACAACTTTTCCTTTTCACCAATTGCTTCATTTCTGAGTTTTTCTAGTTCTGATTTATGCTATTTTCCATAACTTCTATTAGTTTCTTAATATCTAAAATCATAGATACTATGATTATCTGTGTTAAAGTGACTGCTTCTCTCTGTTTTGAGGACGTGTCCTTTGGGCACACCATTGTTGGCTGGGTAGAGCTGTCATTCTGCTCCTTAGTCTCTCTCTTTTATTTTTATTTTTATTTTTGAGATGGAGTTTCACTCTTTTTGCCCAAGCTGGAGTACAATGGCAAGATATTGGCTCACAGCAACCTCCGCCTCCCGGGTTCAAGCGATTCTTCTGCCTCAGCCTCTGAGTAGCTGGGATTATAGGCCTGTGCCACCATGCTCGGCTAATTTTTGTATTTTTAGTAAAGGCAGGGTATCACCACGTTGGTCAGGCTGGTCTCGAACGTCTGACCTCAGGTGATCCGCCTGCCTCAGCCTCCCAAAGTGCTGGGATTACAGGTGTGAGCCACTGTGCCCAGCCTGTCTCTTTCTTTTTGAGACGGATCTTGCTCTGTCTCCTAGGCTGGAGTGCAGTGGTGCGATCTCGGCTCACTTGCAACCTCCACCTCCTGGGTTCAGGTGATTCTCCTGCCTCAGCCTCCTGAGTAGCTGGAATTACAGTCACACACCACCATGCCCTGTGAATTTTTTTTTTTTTTTTTTTTAGTAGAAACGGGGTTTCACCATGTTGGCCAAGCTGGTCTTGAACTCCTGACCTCAGGTGATCCGCCTGCTTCAGCCTCCCAAAGTGCTGGGATGACAGGCGTGAGCCACCGCGCCCGGCCTGTCTCTCTTTTTGTATAACGCCTCTGTATGGGTTTGGACAACACTTCCTGTTGATCATTTGTCCCCCACAGTGAGACGCCTCTTTCTGAATATCTCTGGGGGAAAGATGGGCCAGGATAGCTCCCTCGAGAGCGCCCTCTGTTATTATTAGGTTGGTGCAAAAGTAATAAACTGCAATTACTTATGCACCAACCTAATAGTTCTGAGAAGAGATGGTAAATACAGCCCCTTGCTTTCTGCAACCTGCTGCCTCTGCTCTCTTCTCTCCCTTTTATTGGGACCTGTTTTCCTTTCTGCTTCTGCCCTGGTCAATTTGGATTCTACTACCCCCAGCAACATCTTCTCGGCGCCGGGCTTTGTCTTGCAAGTGAGTTGCACTTGGTTAATTTCAAGAGTCCGTGGCCCAGTGGCTCCCGCACCATCTGCCTTGCTGCTTTCTCCTTGCAGGCGCCTGTGAGTGGAAGGAAGGCTGTGAGTCTCCCTGCTTTGACTCTTCTTCTCTGACTGGACCATGGGCTTTCCAGGGAGTACCTGCTTGTGATTTGGGGGTCTCTCCAGATCTCAGGATCATCAGAATCCCCCTCTACATTGACTTCTCTCCTCTCCCTCTCCTGCGGTTGCTGATACCATGCAAGGCTTGTGGCTGTCAGTGACTTGTACCCACCTGCTTGTGTGCTGTGGACAGCTTGCCACCTAGTCTCACTGTGGCTGTTATCCAGAGGTTTTTGGTTTTGCTATCCTAGGTGCTCTGTCAATCGTTGGGGAATTGGGGGAGGTAAAAAAAACTACGGCATCACTGTCCCATCTTCCCAAAATTGCTTTTAAACCCACTTACCGAAAAGTAGCAGAAACATTCATTATAAAAGCCGCAGTGTGGATGGCAGCTCCCAGTGTTTTTCAGGGGAAATGAGAAGCTCCAAAGAGCAGAGCATGACATGTCTCAGGGCCTGGCCTCTGTCTTGAGACTGCAGAGACCCTACGGATAGAGCTGTAGGCAGGGCTGCCCTGTCCTGTTGCTGGGTTGTGTACTCCTCAAGTGCCCTTGGCTGAGAGGGTAAGTGGGGCTGAATCCCAGCCCGTGCTCCACCATGCTGAGTCCTGGGTCTGGTCCTGGCATGCACCCCTCCCACCTTGATAATGCACGAAGGCCCTAGCAGCTTTCCTGACTAGAGGGGAGGGTGTGGCTGCGTGGTTTTGAGGCTTCTTTCTGCAGGTGGGCGGTGGGGGCGGTCCCTGCAGGGAGGTCTGCAAAGCCCGAGTTCTCTCCCTGAGATGGGGAGAGCCACCGCCACGTTCCATGCATGTCCTCCCAGGTCTGAGCTTTACCAAAGTCGCTTCTGGTAGAAATGCAGAGCTCCCTCACCTCCGTCCTGACCCGTGCAATCTTCAGCCTCATCTGGGAAAGAGGCTTCCGGGAACAGGAGCAGGGGGACCCTCAGCCAAGCCAGGAGCTGGATGAATTATGCTGGCTTGGCCCAGCCCAAAGGGGCTCCAGGTAGAGAGGGACCGGAGAGCCACAGTCCTCCTGGAGAACTTTCCCCAACTTTCCAGCCCCTGCCCCGCCATGGACTGCTGGGGTCCCTGGTTGGTGCAGGCCCTTTTCCGCCTCTTAGTTTGTGATCACACTATTTTCCTTACCACTGTCTCTTGGAAAACTTCCATGCATCCTTCAGGGCCCAGCTCAGATGTCACCTCCTCCAGGAAGCCTCCTCATGAAGCCTTGCTCCTTACCCCAAGCTCAGTTTGTCGCTTCCGTAAGCGCTGCTGCTCCTGACTCCATTCAACACGCATGGGTTCAATCGTGCAGCCAACCAACGTTTGCTGAGCAGCTACTATGTTTTGAGTCTCTGTGTGTTACCCTGGGGTAAATGAGACTGACCTGGCTCCTGGCCTCGGGGGGTGTGCGGTGAGATTGTCCCTGTGGTGAGCTTGTTTGCCTCTCCCCAGGGATGGGCACCATGGCACATATGCTGCTGACCCCAGTGCCCAGCAAGGAGCTGGCACGCAGGAGATGCTCAGTGGGGGTTTGGTGCGTGGTGAATGTCCTCGGCGTGGAGGACTCAGCCAGCGCAGCAGGGGAACAGAGGCTGTCTCTGGCATCAGTCCCTGAGTAGCTTCCTGGTCCCGGCCGCTGGGCTGGGGGACATTGCCCACTCTCCAAGCTGCTCACGTACATTACTAGCCACGGGAGATGGGTGAGGGCTTCTCAGCTCCACAAGGGCAAGCTGCAGTGACAGAGTAGGCCTTGCCCATGAACTGCCAGGGCCCCCTAGCCGAGATGAGATCCGCCCCTGGCAGGCCGTGGAAGGACGAGCCCTCCCTGAGTGCGTGACCCCCAGCCCCGCCCGACCTCAAGTCTATCCCGGAACCTCCTCTCCCACCTCCGGGCTCTGGGTCCCCTGCTGTAAAACGCCCGCAAGGCCGGCTCAGAGTCTGGTCCCAGGGCAGCTGTGGCGTTGGCCTTGGCCCCGCCCCACTGGGTCTCACTCACCCTCAGCTCACCGCAAAGCCCTGAGGTGGGTCTCCTGTGGAGCCCCTTCCTGTGCCGGAACACCCCCAGACTTTTCTTTCGCAGCCTGGGGCTCATTGTCTGAGGGCAGGGTTACCACCTTTAAGACATCGTGAGGTTCGGCCACCTCAGAGCAAGCTGCCCCCACCGTGGCTCCTCTTCAGGCCCAGCGGGGAATGGCTGCTTGCACCAGGTAACGGCAGCCCAGTCTCAAGCCATCGCGTCCCAGAGGCACCTGGTCCCCCTGGAGCATCGGCCTCCTTCCTCTCTAATCTCCCCAGGCCTCCCCCAGGGGCCTCTTAAAAGCACAAATCCCACATGTTTCTCTCCCTTGCTCAAGACCCTCCGGTGGCCTTCTCCTTGCTCACGGAGTGAGGTCTAAACCTCTCAACACGGACACCAGGCCCCACGGGGTCTGCAGCTGCCCCTCACTTCCTCTGGGTCGTCTCCTCTCAAGCTCACGGCTCCCAGCACTTCCCCTGCACACTGGCTCCTCCTGCCTCCCTGTCTGTACCCAGGGCGTGGTGGACCCTCATCAGCCTTTGGACTTCAGCTGAAGCAGCGCCTCCCCCCAGAGGCTCTCCCCGTTTATCTCATTTAAAGATGGCCCTGCTGCGTGTGCGCTTTTGAAAATTGCACCATCATTCACTTACTATAAAATGGGCTCTTTTGAAAGGATACCCTTCAGTGGTTTTTAGTATATTCACAAGGTTGAAAAACCATGACCACTTTCCAATTTCAGAATGTTCTCATCACCCCAAAAGGAAACCCCATCCCTGTTAGCAGTCTCTCCCTCTTCCTCCCTCCCCCCAGGCCCTGGCAACCGTAAAGCTGCTTTCCCTCTCGGGACCTGCCTATTCTGGACATTTTGTATAAATGGAATCACGTAATATGTGGCCTTTCGAGCTTCCTTCACTCAATGTCATGTTTCCAAGATCCACTCCCATTGAAGCCGGTGTTGGTGCCTCACTGCTTTCTGTGGGCGAATAACACATAGTCTGGGGGGTGGGTTACGTTGGTTCCTTTCATCAGTCCCTTTGTAGCACAGGTCCAGTTTGTACCTTTTATTTTTATTTTATTTTATATTATTTTATTTTTGAGATGGAGTCTCGCTCTGTCTCCCAGGCTGGAGTGCAGTGGCACGATCTTGACTCACTGTAAGCTCTGCCTCCTGGGTTCAAGCAACTCTCCTGCCTCAGCCTCCTTAGTAGCTGGGATTACAGGTGAGCACCACCACATCTGGCTAATTTTTGTATTTTTAGTAGAGACGGGGTTTCACCACGCTGGCCAGGCTGGTCTCAAACTCCTGAGGTCAGGTGATCCGTCTGTCTTGGCCTCCCAGATTGCTGGGATTACAGGTGTGAGCCACTGCGCCTGGCCTGTACTTTTTGTTTATCTGTGTGCTTGTTTTTATTTTTGTTTTAATAATAGTAAAAAAAATTCGCCGTGTGCAGTGGCTCATGCCTATAATCCCAAAACTTTGGGAGGCCAAGGAGGGAGAATCACTGAGCCCAGGAGTTCAAGACTAGCCTTGGCAACATAGCAAGACCCCGTCTCTACAACCAAGAAACAGAATAGCTGGATGTGGTGGCACACGCCTGTGGCCCAGCTACTTGGGACTGAGGTGGGAGGATGGCTTAAGCTGGGGAGGTCAGGACTGCAGTGAGCTGTGATTGTGCCACTGCACCCCAGCCTGGGCGACAGAGCTAGACCTTGCCTCAAAGGAAATAAATAAATAAACAGAAAAGAAGATGAGTGAAAGTCCTAACTGCCTTTGTCTCTAAAAACCTTTTTTTAGAGACAGTCTCGCTCTGCCGCGTGGCTGGAGCTGCCATGCCCACAGCTCACTGCAGCCTCAAACCGCGGGTGCTGGGTGTGTGGGGAGTGTGGGGAGGGTCTGAGCTCGGCACTGCCTCCTTGCAGGGGTGCGTGGTGCCGTCCGCTGCATGTTTGCACTCCCCGACCCAGGACAGACGCAGGGAGATTTGTACCCCAGGAACAGCTCCCAGCCATGGCCAGCGACCACCGGGAGTGGGGGGAACACCCTGCTTCCCTACCTCCCCAGTACCTCCGAGGCTTGTTCTATGTGGTCTCCCCGAGGTCTCCATGGGGCCTAGCCCTGCTGCCACTGCTGAAAATCCCGTAATTGGGCTTCTCCCCTCCCATGCACCCCTTCCCTCCTTCCCTCCCCCTCTTCCCAGGCTCTCCACCCAAACACACTACTTGTGCTGAAATCCTTGTCTCAGCGGGAGTGTCCAGGGCCCCGGCCTAAGACCTGGCAAGGCCCCAGCTTCCACCCCACTGGCTGTCCTCCCAGGCAGGCCTGACTGGCCCCCGCTTCTCCCGGGGCTTTATCCCCTGGGCCCCTCCCAGCCTTCTCCCCTCTCTGTACCCCCGACCCCCTCTCCTGGCTCACCCCACCCCCCCAGCCCCCCCTCCGACCCCCCCCCTCTCCTGGGGCTTCACTCCAGGGCCCCTCCCAGCCTTCTCCCCTCTCTGTACCCGCGACCCCACAGGCCTCTGGGCTCGGACTTCAGCCCTCACTTTCCCGACGCCACCCTGGTGACTCTCACCCCCCACGGCCCCATCCTTGGCTGCCACCACAGGCCGTTTTGTTCCCAACATAGCAAATGGCCCGGGTCTCCCCAAATTCCTGTTGTTTGTGTCATATGCAAGAGAACTCAAAATAGCACGTGCAGCGCGCCCTGGCCTGGGAAGTATCTGGTTTTCCCAGGGGTTGGTCCCCAGGGCAGGACAAGGGGTTTGCTCACCAACGCCCCATGTTTGGACCCTGTGCCCGGCTCACACGCTCTCCTTCCCCTCCTGGGCCAGGCTTGGCATTCACTGTGCCCCTCACTTACTGTGTGACCTCAGACAAAGCACACAGCCTCTCTGAGTCTTCATTTTCCAGTGTGCAACAGATGGATAAACCCTGGGCTGCTCTGGGCAGTAGTTTCAAGGTTGAAGTGTGACAGGGATGGGAGAATAGTTTGTGAGCTTTTTTTTTTTTTTTTTCAGACAAGGTCTCTCTCTGTCACCCAGGCTGGAGTGCAGTGGGCAGTGGTGGGATCACAGCTCATTGCAGCCTCGACCTCCCCAGCCTAAGCGATCCTCCCACCTCAGCCTCCCAAGTAGCTGGGACTACAGGCTTGTGTCATCACACCCAGCTAATTTTTTTTTTTTTTTTTTTTGAGACAGAGTCTCCCTCTGTCACCCAGGCTGGAGTACAGTGGTGCCATCTTGGCTCACTGTAAGCTCCGCCTCCCGGGTTCACGCCATCCTCCTGCCTCAGCTTCCTGAGTAGTAGGACTACAGGTACCCGCCACCACGTCCAGCTAAATTTGTATTTTTAGTAGAGATGGGGTTTCACCATGTTAGCCAGGATGGTCTCCATTTCCTGACCTTGTGATCCGCCCACCTCAGCCTCCCAAAGTGCTGGGATTACAGGCGTGAGCCACACGCCAGGCCACATCCAGCTAATTTTTAAAATTTTTGTAGCAATGGGGTCTCCCTATGTTGTTCAGGCTGGGTTTGAACTCCTGGGCCCAAGTGATCCTCCTGCCTTGGCCTCCCAAGGGATTGGAGAATACCTGGTGATTTTAAAATAGCAATTTTTTTTTTTTTTTAAGGTCGGGTGCTGTGGCTCACGCCTGTAATCCCAGCACTTTGGGAGGCCAAGGCAGGCGGATCACAAGGTCAGGAGATTGAGACCATCCTGGCTAACACGGTGAAACCTTGCCTCTACTAAAGATACAAAAAAAATTAGCTGGGCGTGGTGGTGGGCGCCTGTAGTCTCAGCTACTTGGGAGGCTGAGGCAGGAGAATGGCATGAGCCCGCGAGGCGAAGCTTGCAGTGAGCCAAGATTGTGCCAATGCACTCCAGTCTGGGCGACAGAGCGAGACTCTGCCTCAAAATACATATGTTGATAGATAAATAAATAAATAAATAAATAAATAAAAATAGCTTTTTTTTTTTTTTTCTCCCAGAGAATGGGCATGAAGGAAAGGGGGTGGGAGAGTAAAAACCTGGCCTGGGGCCCTACTGCATGTCCCTTCTGTCTGCAAACCTGGGCCCTCACCATCATTATCCCCATTCTACAGATACAGAAACCGAGGTTCGGCGAGATCCTGGGGTTGCCAGAGCTCACGGAGCTGGTGGTGGGTGGGTCAGGGCACAGGCTTTGCTCATATGACCATGAGGCTGATGGTTTTTGCTTTCTTCCATGCGATCTTAGCAATCATCAGAGACTGTTACAATGAGCACATTTGGTGTTACTCCGTAGTGCCTAGGACAGTTCATGATTTGTAGTAGGTGCTCAGTAGATGTGTGGGTGAATGACTGAATGAATGAATAAAAACCACAGAGCTCCCCTTAGAAAGACTGATATGGGCACACGCAGCTAAACAGAGGAAACCCAGGTGCACGTGGGCAGTCGGCCTGACGTACCCGGAGTGGGGGAAGTAAATATGGCCAAGAAGCATCTGGAGCAGGCCCAGGGTGCTCAACCTCAGATGGCCAGTCTCCAGGCTGCGGGGATGCTCCGGTCCCTCTTGGGAGGTTCCTGCAGGGGAGCGGACCTCCTGCCTCCCCAGGCATTCTCCATCTTGGGAGACATTGATTTCAGTGCAGCGCTGGTGCCTCCACTCATTGCTGGACTTCACAGAAGCCCTGTTAGCTTCCCTGGAAGATACCATTTTTTCCTCCTATAAAATTAAGGGGGAGAGATGATGGGCACTTTGGCCAAAATAACACAACTGGGGCAGTTTTTGGAAGCCCAGGGAGGTATTTCTGACATTTAAGCCACGTTAGGTGCAACCTCTGGGTGCCTTGGGAGAAAAAGCTCCCAGTCGATGGCACCAGCCATTGGCCCTGGCAGGACATAAGGGACCTCAGGCTGAGCCAACATCACTGTTCCCACCAAGAAGACATGTTTCTCCACTGCTGGTTCCAAAAGACATGCGTGGCAGGCAACAAAAGCCACATTGGAGAGTGCAGCTGTGCTGTGAGGGTCGTTCTTGGTTCATTTATGGGGCAGCAGGGCGGGGGGAAGAGGAGAACAGAGTCTTCTTATGACTTTCCTGGGTTGTTTTCTAGCCTAGGGGGAGGGCAGGGAATGGGGTTTCTGTGCCAGGGACCCCCTTTCTCATCGACCTCACACAACACTGGCTCACACAGCTGGGCTGGTCTCCTTCACAAGAGGAAGCTGCTGTGTTGGGGACTTGGACGGCAATCCTATTCCTGGAAAAGGGGTCTTGTCCCAGACCCTAAGAGCAGGTTCTTGGATCTCTCGTGGGAAAAAATTCAGGGTGAGTCGCAGAGTATATTAAAGTTAAAACAGTTTATCAGAAACCACTTGGCCGGGCACAGTGGCTCACGCCTGTAATCCCAGCACTTTGGGAGGCTGAGGTGGGCGGATAATGATGTCAGGAGATCGAGACCATCCTGGCTAACACGATGAAATCCTATCTCTACTAAAAATACACAAAATTAGCCGGGCATGGTGGTGGGTGCCTGTAGTCCCAGCTATTCCCGAGGCTGAAGCAGGAGAATGCTGTGAACCCAGGAGGCGGAGCTTGCAGTGAGCCAAGATTGTGCCACTGCACTCCAGCCTGGGTGACAGAGCGAGACTCTGTCTCAAAAAAAAAAAAAAAAAAGAAAGAAAGAAAGAAAGAAACCACTCTAGGCTGCACACAGTGGCTCGTGCCTATAATCCTGTAATCCCAGCACTTTGGGAGGCTGAGGCAGGCGGATCACCTGAGGTCAGGAGTTCGAGACCAGCCTGACCAACATGATGAAACCCTGTCTCTACTAAAAACAAAAATTAGCCAGGAGTGGTGGCAGGTGCCTGTAATACCAGCTACTTGGGAGGCTGAGACAGGAGAATTGCTTGAACCC